ACTCTTTGTAATAATGTTCATTGATCAATAAAAGGCATTTTATACTATATCGCTTAAATCATCATTGAATGTATTGATATATGTCCTTAGAATGGTAGAACTGCGATGAGGGTATCAAGTCTTTCAAATCTTGATAGTGAGAACCCTATGAGCACATATGGTGGCCATTCTAGAAACATCCGTAGCCCCAGTATTGTTTTGAAGTAAGGGCATAAATAATTCGATAAGGCTATCACAGTGTTGAACGACCCTGTCGAAAGGCAGTGACTAATCTCACTTGTCAGGGTTGTTTGGTGACAACCTGGTACAACACATGGGTGCTTGTTGTAGGCAAGTTCACTGGACTGACCCACCAGAGGATTCCATATGGATGGTAACCCTAGTGTCTTTGGAACAAATCCTCTAACTAATGGTGGTGCATGTGATCCTTAGGCTTGAGATCACCGGAGAGCCTTCTGCATCGATTAGTGTAGTTTGACACTAGCCTAACACAGTTCTATTCAAAGCTGTCAATACAGTGGTGATTGGCTATATCAAGGAGTGTATCAAGACTATGGTGGATAGACAGAGGATTCATCACTCCCAGGTACGGGAGAAGTTATCTCACGACGCAATTTAGTAAATGGCAACGACACTAAAACTGTGGCCATAATGGGATTGAGTTGTTGCTCTATCCAGTTTATAATATAGGTCATTGGTCCAGTAACTGAATACATAATATCGACCATAGTCTTGATACACTTCTCAATGTAGCCAATCACTACCGTATTGATAGTTCTGAATAGAACTACGTTGGGCTAGTATCAAACTACACCAGTTGGTGCATAAGGCGCTCTAGTGATCTACAGTCTAAGGATCACATGCACCACCATCCGTTAGAGGATTTATTCCACAGACATTGGGGTTACCATCCATATGGAATCCTCTGGTGGGCCTTTCCAATGAACTTGCCTTTAGCAAGCACCCATGCGTTACACCAGGTTGTCGGCAAACAACCTTGACAAGTGAGATCAGTCATTGCCTTTCGACAAGGTCGTAGCCTTCATTTAATTTGATATTAAAATTAAATAAGTGAAATTACGTTTAAATATGTGTTCGCATATATTTAAATAAATTATCATTATTGGTAAATGTTAATATATATATATATATATTGTAAATATATATTAATTGAATTTAATTGAGATAATGATAAATTAAAATAAAAATAAAAATATCTTAAAGGGGATATTTGGATACAAGGGGTGTTTGGGTTGGAGCCCAAACCCATTCCATGATGGAATAAGGTATAGTGTGCACTATATAAGTGCACACATTGTGAAATATTTTAAGGCATTTCATTTCATTCACAATTGAAACACTCCAGCACCTTGAAACACTCTCACGCCAGTTTTTGCTTTTTGCAAAAATCAAATACACTTTGATTTCTTCTTGGTTCTTAAAGGCTAGAGAGGATCTAGCAAATCCCTCTCTAGTTCCTTGAGGTTATCTTCGTGTGGACTACATCGATTCGATCCTACACTTGGGTCGGTAGCGAAACACATTCTGAGACAAGTTGGAGGAGCCTCACAATGAGCGTATGATTTCTTAAACTCTAAACTAAAATCTGTACATTCTTATTTAAAATATAAACTGTAAATTTATATCCTGATCTTGGTTCTAAGGAACGGTCCATTTTTGTAAATGTTTTTTGTTTTACCGCTGCCATGTATGATCGTTTCCTAACAGTTCAGTAACTATGATAGCCTTACCGTATTATCTGTTGTTAGAGTAAATGCCCTAGAGCCAATCAATTATTGTAGAATTGACTATTTGTAATAATGTTCATTGATCAATAAAAGGCATTTTATTCTATATCACGTAAATCATCATTGTATGTATTGATATATGTCCTTAGAATGGTAGAACCGTAACGAGGGTATCAAGTGTTCCAAATCTTGATAGTGAGAACCCTATGAGCACATATGGTGGCCATTCTAGAAGCGTCCGTAGCCTTTGTATTATTCTGAAGTAAGGGCACAGATAATGTGGTAAGGCTATCATAGTGTTGAACGACCCTATCGAAAGATAGTGACTGATCTTACTTGTCAGGCTTGTTTGGTGACAGCCTGGTGTAACACATGGGTGTTTACTGTAGGCAAGTTCACTACACTGACCCACTAGAGGATTCCATATGGATGGTAACCCCAGTATCTATGGAACAAATCCTCTAACGAATGGTGGTGCATGTGATCCTTAGACTTGAGATCACCAGAGCGCTGATAATCCGTAAATTATACAGTTTTTATTTGATCTTTTTGTCGGATTTCAGGTACTTTCTAGTGCATTTTTACCTGAATTGGTGCGTAATTCTCTACTTTTCGTGTTTCAGGTTAAAATGGACTCTTTTAGCGAATAAAGACAAAATTTGACAGTTTTGACTCAGAATTGAAGGATTTCAGAAGATAGGAGAGTTCCGGAGTAGGACAATGCACGATGAAGCTTGTTTCCAAGGTGGAGAGTCGAAAATCGAAGAATCGGACGAAGAGGCAAGCAGAGTGGCAGTTCTGTAAATTTCAGAACTTTTGAAGAAGCTTCGCCCCGGCGAAGAAATTGTCTTCGCCGCGGCGAAGTTGGGCAGAGTCGAATTNCAAAATTTGATAGTTTTGACTCAGAATTGAAGGATTTCAGAAGATAGGAGAGTTCCGGAGTAGGACAACGCACGATGAAGCTTGTTTCCAAGGTGGAGAGTCGAAAATCGAAGAATCAGACGAAGAGGCAAGCAGAGTGGCAGTTCTGTAAATTTCAGAACTTTTGAAGGAGCTTCGCCCTGGCGAAGAAATTGTCTTCGCCGCGGCGAAGTTAGGCAGAGACGAATTGGAATTTTTCATTCTTCGCCGCGGCGACAGTCAAAATTTTCTGTTTTGTAAACGCACAGTTTCGTGTGTGCGTGTTTTTGGTTGGGTTTTTAGACTAAGTATAAAAGGAAAACTTGAACTTTTTGCTGGGGACTCTCAGCTGTTAGGTTTAGCCGTCTTTTACATTTTTCTTAGAGAAAAAGCTTGCATTTTTTTCGGATTGTTAAAGAGGAGATTCAGATTTTGACTAGAAGATTCACCTTTTGGGGAGATTTCTTATCTTTCATTTCAGTTTCATTATGTTTAACTTGTTTATTTCTATTTTTCGTTTTTGTATTGTTAGTTTAGCTATGAACTAATCTTCTATGGGTTAGGGTTTTGATTTTAGTTTGGATTTGAAATGGGTTAAGTATTTGATTGTGTTAGTTCCATGTGAATAAGCTTTGGTTGTGTGTTACTCTGAAATTAAATGCTGAATGTGATGAACATGATGAGATTGAGAAATAATTCATGTTAAGCTTCTTGGGTAATAACCATTATAGTATTGGATGCTAGAGATAGATTCAAGAATTAATGAAATCAATTTAGGATTCTTGTGCCTCATGATTTTAGAATTATTAACCTTCAAATTGTTGGGTGTGGAATGTTAATAAGGACAAATAGGAAAACATAGTCCGAGAGGGTATGTTAACATATTAGTGAATCCGATTTACAACCATTGCACGTGAATGTGGAAATAGTGTAACTCTTAGGTTTAACCCATAAAAATCCAAACGAAGTCGAAACCCTACCCGTTTTACTTAAATTGAATTTCTGTGTTTCATTTGCTTTCGTATTTAAGAATTAATTCTTTGTTAAATTTTATTTTTGTTTTCTTTCAATTACAATTTGCTCCCACCAATCCAAGATATTCGATTGCTTCGACTTGTTAATGTTAGGAAACTTAGTGCTTTGCTACCAGTCCTCGTGGGAACGATATCCTACCCATCACTCTATTACTTGAGCGACTAGTGCACTTGCTATTCTTTGCATGTTGTAGTAAACACGCATCAACATGCGGGAATATTCTACCCGTACTCACAGGTTCCCCATCGCACAACCTACTCTATTCTCTTATTAAGCAATACTCTAGCTTTTACTCTATAGTGCTCATTCTCTCTTTATCTGTACTCTTAGAGTAGTCTAAACTCAAAAGTCTCTACTCTTTCTCTACTCTCTTTTCTANTATTAGTGAATCCGATTTACAACCATTGCGCATGAATGTGAAAATAGTGTAACTCTTCGATTTAACCCATAAAAGTCCAAACGAAGTCAAAACCCTACCCGTTTTGCTTGAATTGATATTCTGTGTTTCATTTTGCTTTCTTAGTTAAGATTTAATTCTTTGCTAAATTTCATTTTTGTCTTCTTTTTCATTACAATTTGCTCCCACCAATCCAAGGAATTCGATTGCTTCAACCTGATAACGTTAGGAAACTTAGTGCTTTGCTACAGTCCTCATGGGAACGATATCCTACCTATCACTTTATTACTTGAGCGACTAGTGCACTTGCTATTTTTGCATGTTAGAGTAGTAAACAGCCATCAAGTTTTTGGCGCCGTTGCCAGGGACTGTTTTTAAGTTAACATTAAGTTTTTCCTTGAGTTTAACTAGATTGAAGTTTTAATTTTTGTTTTTGTTTTTAATTTTTGTTAGAGTTGTGATTTCACTTTTCTTTCACTTGTGTTCTTTCAGTTTATGCGAAGAGCAAGACGTCAACCATTGGTTCCTGTTGACCTTGAGCTTGAAAGGACTGTAAGAAGACTAAACAGAGAGAGAAGAGAAAGAGATACACTTACTGCAGAAGCGGAAGAAGTTGTTGTTGAAATGGCTGAACAAGAAAATAGGACACTGAGGGAATTTTCAGTTCCCACAATGAACGGAAGTGGGTCAAGTATTACGAGACCTACAGTACAAGCAAACAACTTCGAGATCAAGCCGGCAATCATCCAGATGATCCAGCAGTCGGTTAGATTCAACGGTGATTTGAAAGAGGATCCGAATCAGCACATTGCAAATTTCCTGGAAATTTGCGACACCTTCAAGTCGAATGGAGTATCGGATGATCTATTAGGCTGCGGTTATTCCCATTTTCATTGGAAGATAAAGCAAAAGGGTGGTTAATGGCATTACCACTGGGCACGATAACAACATGGAATGATCTGGCACAAAATTTTTTGACCAAGTTCTTTCCTCCAGCGAAGTCAGCGAAGTTGAGAAATGATATCACATCATTTCTACAAGATGATACTGAGTCGTTGTACGAGGCCTGGGAGAGATACAAGGAATTGATGAGGAAGTGCCCACATCATGGTTTGCCTGTTTGGCTTCAAGTCCAAACATTCTATAATGGGTTGATGGGTAATGTGCAAACCATGGTGGATGCAGCTTCAGGAGGAGCTTTGCAGAATAAGACACCTGAAGAGGCGTATGAGTTGCTTGAGGTTTTGGCAAGCAACAACTACCAAAGACCGAATGAGAGAGTAACAACGAGGAAATCTTCGGGTCTTCATGAAGTAGATGCTTTCACAGCCATCTCAGCCCAACTCACTGCACTTCAAAAACAGTTGGGAACTATGCAGGTAAACTCTATACAAGCACCTCAACTAACATGTGATTTTTGTGCAGGAAACCATGTGAGCAGCGAGTGCCAAGTCGGAAACACATTTGCACCGTCGTCTTCATCAACGGAGCAAGTAAATTACTTGGCAGGAAATCAAAGACAGCCGAACAATCCGTTCTCCAACACATACAATCCAGGGTGGAGACATCATCCGAATCTGGCTTGGGGAAATCAAAACCAACAGGGTAACCAATGGAACCAGAGGCAAGTTCCAAATAACCAGCCAGGGGTGACCAATCAACCGGGAGATCCAAGAGTGTCGAAGTTGGAGGATTTGTTCGGTAAATTCATGCAAGAGTCTACAGGGTTCATGAATGAGACGAGGACAAACTTTAGAAACCAAGGGGCGTCCATTCGGAATCTTGAGGTACAGATGGGCCAATTGGCCGAGAAGCTGAATGATAGACCACAGGGTTCTCTACCTAGCAACACAGTGACCAACCCACGTGAACAAGCAAATGCAATCATTTTGAGAAGTGGGACAGTTTTAGAAGAAGTAGGCCAGCCTACGAAAGAAGGAGAGCAACCCGGAAAGGAAGAGTATGAAGAGAGAATGGATGAAGAGATTATCTGTGAAGAGAATTCAGGTGCTTTAGGGGAAGAGAACAAGAAAGAGGATGAAAGGCAAAAGAAGAAGGAGAAATTGCCATTCCCCGAGATACCACCAGAATTAGCTCATCACACTCCACCCGTGCCTTTTCCTCAGAGATTGAAGAAGAAGAATCAGGATAAGCAATTTTCGAAATTCATTGAAATTTTTAAAAAATTGCATATTAACATTCCTTTTGCAGATGCAATACAGCAAATGCCGAGCTATGCGAAGTTCCTGAAGGAGATACTTTCGAACAAGAGGAAATTAGAAGATGAGGAAACGGTGATGCTAACGGAAGAGTGTAGTGCAATCCTCCAAAAGAAATTACCCCCAAAGCTCAAAGATCCAGGGAGTTTTACTATTCCTTGTGTTATAGGGGATATTACTTTTGATCGTGTGCTTTGTGATTTAGGAGCTAGTATAAATTTGATGCCCTTTTCTGTTTTCAGGAGATTAGGGATTGGTGAAGTGAAGCCAACGACAATGTCGTTGCAACTAGCGGATCGGTCGATAAAGCACCCGAGGGGGATAGTTGAAGATGTATTAGTGAAGGTGGGGAAGATAATTTTTCCAGCGGACTTTGTAGTGCTGGACATGGAAGAGGATAAGGAGATTCCTCTCATTTTGGGCCGACCATTCTTGGCCACGGGGAGAGCACTGATTGACGTGCAGGAAGGAAAGTTGCTGTTAAGGGTTCAAGATGAAACAGTAACTTTTAATGTGTTTGATGCAATGAAGTTTCCGTCGGAAGCGGATTCATGTTTTAGTGTGGATGTGGTGGATGAACTTGTTGTGGAGTCCATGGAAGAAAACATCCCAGAATTACCTCTAGAAGCGTGTATAGCCAAATCGAAAACGGTAGAGGTAGAAGAATCAGCAAGGAACGATTGTGCTAGAATGTTAGAAGCACTTCAACCGATTGAAGAGAGTCAAGATGTAGAATTTTAGGAGTTTGATTTTGACAAAGAGAGGGCAAAGGAAAATAATAAAGAAGCTCCAAGGCTTGAACTGAAACCCTTACCACCTCACCTCAAATATGTCTATCTTGGAGACTCAGAAACTTTTCCGGTGATAATTAGTGCAGAATTGAATGCCTTAGAGGAAGAGAGGTTGATTAGAGTGTTGAGGGAACATAGACTAGCAATTGGATGGACCATTACGGACATTAGAGGTATCTCACCCTCATTTTGCATGCATAAGATTCTCATGGAGGATGACTTTAAGCCGAGGGTACAACCACAACGGAGATTGAATCCTTCAATGAAGGAAGTGGTGAGAAAGGAGGTGGTGAAACTCTTAGATGCGGGGATCATCTATCCGATTTCCGATAGTCCATGGGTGAGCCCGGTACAAGTTGTTCCAAAGAAAGGAGGGATCACTGTTGTGAAGAATGAGAGTAATGAGTTGATTCCAACAAGAACGGTAACGGGTTGGAGAGTGTGCATTGATTACCGTAAACTGAACGAGGCGACAAGGAAGGATCATTTTCCATTGCCCTTCATCGATCAGATGTTGGAGAGGTTGGCAGGACATGCATATTATTGTTTCCTGGATGGCTATTCAGGATATAACCAAATTGCCATCGCTCCGGAGGATCAAGAGAAAACGACCTTCACTTGCCCCTACGGCACCTTTGCTTACCGAAGAATGCCGTTTGGGTTATGCAATGCACCAGCAACATTCCAAAGATGCATGATGTCAATCTTTGGAGACATGGTGGAAAAATTCATAGAAGTGTTCATGGATGACTTCTCAGTTTTCGGATCATCATTTGATAACTGTCTAACAAATTTGTCTCTTGTTTTGCAGAGATGTAAGGAAACAAATTTGGTGCTGAATTAGGAGGAATGTCACTTCATGGTCCAAGAGGGAATAGTGCTCGGGCATAGGATTTCCAAGGATGGGATTGAAGTTGATTTGGCAAAGACAGAAGTGATTGAGAAGCTACCACCACCATCAAATGTCAAAGCAGTCGGAAGTTTCTTGGGGCATGCGGGGTTTTACAGACGCTTCATCAAGGATTTTTCAAAGATCTCTAAACCCCTTTGCAATTTATTAAATAAAGATGTTGTTTTTGATTTTAATGATGATTGCATGCATGCTTTCCTAACTCCGAAAAAATTACTAGTATCTGCACCTATTATTGCAGTTCCCGATTGGGGACTGCCCTTTGAACTAATGTGTGATGCTAGTGACTTTTCTTTAGGGGTAGTTTTAGGTCAGATAATAAATAAAGTGTTGCATGTAATTCAGTATGCTAGCAAGACACTTGTTGATGCACAACTGAATTACACCACCACTGAAAAAGAATTATTGGCTGTTGTGTTTGCTTTTGACAAATTTCGTTCTTATTTATTAGGTGCGAAGGTGATCGTTTACACAGACCATTCAGCACTCAGACACCTACTGGCGAAGCAAGAAGCAAAACCTCGGTTGATAAGATGGATTCTACTACTTCAAGAGTTTGAGTTAGAGATTTGAGACAAGAAAGGATCGGAAAATGTGGTAGCTGATCATTTGTCGAGAATTGAGAGACCAATTGAGGGAAATGAGTTGGAAATGCCAATTTCAGAAACATTTCCGGATGAGAAGCTGATGATAGTGGAAGAAGCACTATGGTATGCGGACTTTGCAAATTATCTTTCATCAAGGGTGTTCCCAAGTGGTATGACATTTCAACAGAAGAGGAAATTTTTCTCTGATTTAAAATACTACTTTTGGGAAGAGCCGTTCCTGTATAGGCACTGTACGGATCAAATGATACGGAGATGTGTCCCGGAGGAAGAAATGGAGAGCATTTTAAGGCANTTTGGGTTATGCAATGCACCAGCAACATTCCAAAGATGCATGATGTCAATCTTTGGAGACATGGTAGAAAGATTCATAGAAGTCTTCATGGATGACTTCTCAGTTTTTGGGTCATCATTTGATAATTGTCTAACAAATCTGTCTCTTGTTTTGCAGCGATGTAAGGAAACAAATTTGGTGCTGAATTGGGAGAAATATCACTTCATGGTCCAAGAGGGAATAGTGCTCGGGCATAGGATTTCCAAGGACGAGATTGAAGTTGATCGGGCAAAGACAGAAGTGATTGAGAAGCTACCACCACCATCAAATGTCAAAGCAGTCCGAATTTCTTGGGGCATGCGGGGTTTTACAGACGTTTCATAAAGGATTTTTCTAAGATCTCTAAACCCCTTTACAATCTATTGAATAAAGATGTTGTTTTTTACTTTAATGATGATTGCATGCATGCTTTCCTAACTCTGAAAAAATTACTAGTTTCTGCACCTATTATTGCAGTTCCCGATTGGGGACTGCCCTTTGAACTGATGTGTGATGCTAGTGACTTTGGTTTAGGGGTAGTATTAGGTCAGAGAAAAAATAAAGTGTTACATGTAATTCAGTATGCTAGCAAGACACTTGTTGACGCACAACTGAATTACACCACCACTGAAAAAGAATTATTGGCTGTGGTGTTTGCTTTTGACAAGTTTCGTTCTTACTTATTAGGTGCGAAGGTAATCGTTTACACTGACCATTAAGCACTCAGACACCTACTGGCGAAGCAAGAAGCAAAACCTCGGTTGATAAGATGGATTCTACTACTTCAAGAGTTTGAATTGGAGATTCGAGACAAGAAGGGGTCGGAAAATGTGGTAGCTGATCATTTGTTGAGAATTGAGAGACCAATCAAGGGAAATGAAGTGGAAATGCCAATTTCAGAAACATTTCCGGATGAGAAGCTGATGAGAGTGGACGAAGCACCATGGTTTGCAGACTTTGCAAATTATCTATCATCAAGGGTGCTCCCAAGTGGTATGACATTCCAACAGAAGAGAAAATTTTTCTCAGATTTAAAGTACTACTTTTGGGAAGAGCCATTCCTTTATAGACACTGCACTGATCAAATGATACAGAGATGTGTCCCGAAGGAAGAAATGGAGAGCATTCTAAGGAATTGTCATGAGAAGGAAGTAGGTGGCCATTTTGGGGGAGCTAGAATAGCAACGAAGGTGCTACAATCTGGGTTTTTTTGGCCAACCCTCTTTAAGGATTCCTTCTGGATGATCCAGGAGTGTGACCAATGTCAATGGATGGGGAGTATTTCAAAAAGAGATGAGATGCCGTTGAACAACATCCTGGTGGTTGAAATTTTTGACGTTTGGGGGATTGATTTCATGGGTCCTTTCCCAAGTTCCTATGGGAACACGTATATCTTGGTAGCTGTAGATTATGTGTCGAAATGGGTTGAGGCAGTTGCATTGCCAACTAATGATGCTAGGGTGGTGATTAATTTTGTGAGNAAACAATTATTGAATTGTTTACAAGGATTCCTATATAAAGAAAATGATATATCAATTTTTGTGTAGAGAAAAAAATCTCTAAGAACCCTAAATCTCCCTCTTGGTCAAATCTCTTCTTCCTTTGGTGTGGATACTCTTTTGCTTAATTTCTCTTGAAATTAAGAGTCTCCAAGGTTGCTAAGGGCTTAAGGTAACATGTTCTACCTTACTTATTTCAATTTGCTTGAAATTTATTTTTAAACTATGACTATACTTGTTATAGTATGATGTGCTTGATTCTCCATGCATCTATCTTTCACTCCAACCTTGGGCACAAAGGGAGCTCCAAAGGCATCAAGTTACCAACATCTCCACTGCCCTTACTAAAGCCAACACCCTTATTGAGTTCCACAAGGGCAAATCATCCAAGCCAAAGAAAGATGGCAAGCCCGATCACGACAAAGGTGGGGGAGGAAAGGGAGACAAACCTTCCCACCGAGAAAAGAGAGACAAACCGCCTCACAAGAAGGAATGGCGGAAGGATGGCAAGAAGGAATACAAGCATCGGGAGAATTGTTATCTGTGTGATGGGGACTATTGGATCCGAGACTGCCCCAAGCGCAAGGCCTTCAACGCCATGTTCGAAGAGAAGCAACCTGAGACATCCTCATCCGAAACCGCCAACATGGGGTGCCTCTAACTTCTCAATGCCTTGAAGCTAAAGCCCGCACAACCTAAATTTCAAGATAAGTCCCTTATGCATGTCGAAGCCACTATCAACGGGAAGAAAGTTCAAGCCTTATTGGACACGTGTGCTTCCCACAACTTCATCAAAGACAACGAGGCAAGACGGTTAGGCCTCAAGGTGGAGAAATCAGACAGATGGCTCAAGACGGTGAATGCTGAAGCAAAACCACTTGGGGTTGGAATGTTGAGCTACATTTTGGCACATGGAGCGGCAAGGTAACATTTTCTGTGGCACCTTTAGATGATTTTAACCTTGTTCTTGGCATGGAGTTTATCAAGCAATTCAATGCGGTGCCCTTACCGCGGTACAACTCTATGTGCATCCTGGAGGGAGTTCCATGCATGGTTCCGACAGTGAGCAAGGCCGCACCAAGCAACCAACTCTCCGCAATGCAAATTGAGAAGGGACTTAAGCGAAAAAAAGAGACCTTTCTCGCCATGGTGCATGAGTTGGAAGATGAAGGAGGTGTGGGCACCGTGGAGCCGATACCGAAGGAAATATCCCAAGTCCTTGAAGAGTATAAGGATGTCATGCCACCCGAGTTGCCGAAATGCCTACCACCTAGGAAGGAGGTGGACCACAGGATTAAGTTAGAACCAGGAGCTAAGCCACCTACCAAAGCTCCATACCGGATGTCGCCACCGGAACTAAACGAGTTGCGGAGACAACTCAAAGAACTCTTAGAAGCCAGAGTTATCAAGCCTTCAAAAGCACCATATGGAGCTCCGGTTCTCTTTCAGAAGAAGCATGATGGGTCACTTTGCCTTTGCATCGACTATCGGGCACTTAATAAGGTAACCATAAAAAACAAGTATCATATTTCGCTAATTGCCGATTTGTTTGATCAACTTGGACAGCCAAGTATTTTTCTAAGCTTGATTTGAGATCGGAGTATTATCAAGTGCGGATTGCGGAAGAGGATGAGCCAAAGACTGCATGTGTGACGCGTTACGGAGCCTTTGAGTTCAAAGTCATGCCATTCGGCCTCACCAATGCCCCTGCCACATTTTGCCCCCTCATGAACCACATCTTCCATCCATATCTTGATCGGTTCTTGGTGGTCTATCTTGACGACATTGTGGTGTATAGCAATACTCTTGAGGAGCATGCCGAGCACTTGCAGACAGTTTTTCGAGTGTTGCAAGAAAATGAACTCTATGTCAAGCGGGAGAAGTGCTCATTTGCCAAGCCGAAGGTAGAGTTTCTCGGCCACAAGATCACAGATGGGAAGTTTATCATGGACAAAGCCAAGGTGAAGGCTATTATGGAGTGGGAAGCCCCAACAAAGGTTACCGAGCTGCGCTCTTTCTTGGGCCTCATCAATTACTACCGAAGATTTATCAAAGGCTACTCCACCATTGCCGCACCACTCACAGATTTGCTTAAAAAGACCACAAAATGGGAGTGGACAATTGATCGCCAACATGCCTTTGATTCTCTGAAAAGGGCCATCATGGAGGAGCCGGTGTTAGCCTTGCCCAACCATGCCCAACCATTTGAGGTGCATACTGATGCATCTGACTTTGCTATTGGAGGTGTGTTAATGCAGGATGAACATCCCATAGCATTTGAAAGCTGAAAGCTCAATGATACGGAGCGGCGATACACGGTGCAAGAGAAGGAGATGACAGCCGTGGTGTATTGTCTACGCACTTGGCGACATTATTTACTAGGGTCCAAGTTCTTGGTGAAGACGGACAATATGGTAGCAAGTTACTTCCAGAGTCAGAAGAAACTTAGCCCCAAGCAAGCTAGATGACAAGATTTCCTAGCCGAGTTTGACTATGTGTTGGAGTACAAGCTCGGGAAAGCCAACTTGGTAGCGAATGCATTGAGTCGGAAGACCCAGTTTGTAGCCATAAGCAAGATGCAAGGGGATCTCCTCAAGCTCATAAAAGAGGGTCTCGAGCATGACCCATTGGCCAAGTAACTCATCTCTTTAGCTCAAGATGGTAAGACTAAGCGCTTTTGGGTAGAAGATGACCTCCTGTACACCAAATGGAGAAGGGTGTATGTTCTGAAGTGGGGAAATTTGCAGAAGAACTTGATCAAGGAGTGTCACGACACCAAATGGGCCGGATATCCTGGACAAAGACGCACCCGAGCACTATTGGAAGCAGCTTATTATTGGCCACAGATGGGAGATGATGTGGAGCAATTTGTGAGAACTTGTCTCATGTGTCAACAGGATAAGCTGGGGCACCGAAGCCCCGCTGGATTATTAGAACCATTGCCCACACCAAGCAGACCATGTGAGAGCATTTCAATGGATTTCATAGTGTGCTTACCGAAATCCGAGGGGTTTACTACTATTATTGTTGTGGTGGACAGGTTGTCAAAGTATGCTACCTTCATCCCCGCACCAAAGGAGTGTACAGCGGAAGACACAGCCACGCTCTTCTTCAAGCATGTGGTGAAGTATTGGGGTCTTCCGAAGTCTATCATCAGTGATCGGGATAGTCAGTTCACGGGGAGATTTTGGATCGAGTTGTTCAAACTTATGGGGTCGGCGTTGCACTTCTCCACAAGCTTTCACCTCAAACTGACGGGCAGACTGAGAGAGTGATTGCTTTGCTAGAAATATATCTGCGACACTTTGTGAGTGCCAGCCAACTTGATTGGGCAAAATTGATTGATGTAGCCCAATTCTCATACAACTTGCAGAGAAGTGAAGCCACCAACAAAAGCCCATTCGAAATGGTGATGGGTCAACAACCACTCACGCCGCACACCTTGGGTATAAGTTATAAGGGGAGCAGCCCCGCGACATTCAAAGTCGCTAAGTCATGGCATGAGCAAGCTGACATCACACGGGCGTATCTTGACAAAGCAACAAAGAAAATGAAGAAGTGGGCGGACAAGAAGCAGAGGCATGTGAAGTACAACGTGGGAGATTTAGTACTTGTCAAAATCCTCCCATCACAACACAAGTCCACCCGGCCACTACACAAAACTCTTGTCCGAAGATATGAAGGGCCATTTCCCATAATCAAGAGGGTCGGCAATGTGTCCTACAAGCTTGAAAATTCCACAACGTTGACAACCGGTTTGTGAACGAGGCAGCCCGTAAACGTTATGAGGAGGTGATCAAACGAAAGGATAAGGGTTTCATCCCTGAACATGGATTGACAGCACCACAATCTGTGGACTGGAGTAGGGGTAGACGTTGGGACATGTTCATGCGTGCTCCTGATTTGCTGGCTGTAGAACCGTTGGTGAGAGAGTTCTATGCCAACTTCCCCGAAAGTCAGGATGAGATTGTGTTTGTATGAGGGGAGGATGTGCCATTCTCAGCAAAGGATATCAACAACTTCTATAACTTGCCCGACCATTTCAGTTCCGCTGATGAGTATGTGGTGTTCAAAAGATCAGCCTATGAGGATGATATTATCTTGCCGGTCATTGCGAAACCTGGGGCAGCATGGGAAGTGTCTAAAAAACAGAAAAAGACACTCAAAGGAACACAGTTGACACCAATGGCTCGGCTGTGGCAGTACTTTGTCTGTGCTAAACTAATGCCGGAGACGCACTACAGCACAGTGACTCTTGATAAGGCGGAATTGCTGTACTCCATTGCCACAAGAAAGAGTATGGATGTGGGAGACATCATTTATCACAGTATCAGGATAGCATCCCAAAAGGGACGATCAAGCTACTGTTTCCCGCATCTCATCACTGCCATGTGCCAAAAAGCAGGGGTCAAGGTTGCAGATGATGAGCCGCGTATTTATCCGGCTCCAATTCTAGATGACGACTATTACACCAAACATCTTGACCGAGCGGCAGATGCCCAACCAACAGCAGGGGCAAAGAGGCAGAGAACGAGCATGGCCACATCATCCCGCTCCACAGGATCTCAGAAAGCAATGATGCAAGAAATGATGCGGATGATGAAATACATGAAGAGACGACAGGATTGGATGATGGAGCGGACACAGAACATTCATGAAATGTTAACGAAAAGTTTCAAGGATCTGAATGTTGACACTTCCGCATATCAGTGGGTTGACTGGAACTCAGATGACTGGCCAGAATCAGAGGAAGAAGAGGAAGAAGAAGCGGAAGCAGAGGAAGAAGAAGACTGAACCGGAACACCTGTTTATTTTTATGTTTTGTTACTTTCATTTAATTTTTGTCCAGTTGAAACTTTAACTCATTTTATTTTGGTTTTGGATCGTGTTTTTGTGTTAGTTGTTTAGTTTTTTTTTTTTTTAGTGTTAAAAGGGCGAGACAGGTTGTAATACTTTCATTATAGTTGTGAATTCGTTCTAACATAAGGGACACCACAGTTTTTGTTTTGACAGATTTTGGATGATGAAAAGTCCTAAGAACGGGTGAACATTGTGGAACGACAATTCATGACTTAACCAGGGAGCATTCTCGTACCTTTTTATTGTTCATTTATTTTTCATTTGTTGTTTTTCTCTATTCCTGACTTATGCATAATGGAACATTGGGGACAATGTTATATTTAGTTTGGGGGTAGGGAATAGATTTTTAGTTTAAGGGTATATTGGCTGGAAACCAGTAACCGCCTTAAAAACTGCCTAGCAGTATTTGGCGACCTCGGGTTTAACAACGCCACGTACACCTTAAACGAGTCTCCCCTGCATTTATGGTATCCAAAAGTTTTTAAGGATACGCGTTTGAAGGCTGTGAACTAGTAGACATGTCGATTGGTGTTGAGAAAGTGTGGGTTTCGATGTGATTTGAGTTTTGCTTTAGGACAACCGAGTTCTCTTACTTTGTTTCCTATCCTTTTATTGGAGCCCATGACCCGAGCCTAACGTTACAAGCTTTTAAAGACCTTTTGATTCTCATCTGTGTTTAGTCCTCATTAGTGGAGAGTAGTTCGATATTTAGGCTTATGGAGTCTGCCACCATTTGATAAACTTTACAATTTTTGCATAAAATAATCCGGGAAGTTGGAATGTGGATTGAAGTGGGGATCACCTACTTGGTGGACCGATTGAGGAAGACAGTCGATGTAGCTTATAACTTCTTGGAGTGTCGAACATTTCCTGATAATAATTTTTCAACAATTTGTGAGACATGTGCAATTTCTAGGCAATTTACTGTGGAATTTGAGTTTTGTTGATTTTGGTTTTTCAGTTGTTTGTGTGCTTTCATGTTTTTGTTTTTGTTTTTGTTTGTTGTCTTTGTTTTCGTGAGTTTTGTACTGTATGCTCGGGGACGAGCATCTCTTTAGTTTGGGGGTAGTTGATAATCCGTAAATTATATAGTTTTTATTTGATCTTTTTATCGGATTTCAGGTACTTTCTAATGCATTTTTACCTGAATTGGTGCTTAATTCTTTACTTTTCGTGTTTCAGGTTAAAATGGACTTTTCGAGCGAATAAAGACAAAAATTGGATAGTTTTGACTCATAAATGAGCAGATTTCAGAAGATAGGAGAGTTCCGGAGCAGGACAAAGCACGATGAAGCTTGTTTCCAAGGAAGAGAGCCGAAAATCGAAGAATCGAATGAAGAAGCAAGCAGAGTGGCAGTTCTGTAAATTTCAGAACCTTTGAAGGAGCTTCGCCCCGGCGAAGAAATTGTCTTCGTCGCGGCGAAGTAGGCCAGAGACGACATGGGATTTCTTCATTCTTCGCCGCGGCGAAGAAGAATTCTTCGCCGCGGCGACAGTCAACTTATTCAGTTTTGTAAACGCACAGTTTCGTGTTATGCGCGTTTTTGGCTGGGTTTTTGGACTTAGTATAAAAGAAAAACTTAACCTTTTGTTGAGGGACCTTGAGCTTTTTAGGTTTAGCCGTTTTTATACTTTTCTTTGAGGAAAGCTTGTAGTTTTTTCGGATTGTTGAAGGGAAGATTCAGATTTTTACTAGAAGATTCATCTTTTGGGAAGATTTCTTATCTTTCATTTCAGTTTCATTATGTTTAACTTGTTTATTTCTATTTTTCGTTTTTGTAGTGTTAATTTAGCTATGAACTAATCTTCTATGGGTTAGGGTTTTGATTGTAGTTTGGATTTTATATGGGTTAAGTATTTGATTGTGTTATTTCCATGTGAATAAGCTTTGGTTGTGTGTTATTCTGATTTTAATTGTTTTATGTGATGAACATGATGAGATTGAGAAATAATTCATGTTAGGCTTCTTGGGTAATCACCATTATAGTATTGGATGCTAGAGATAGATTCAAGAATTAATGAAATCAATTTAGGATTCTTGTGCTTAATGAATTTAGAATTATTAACCTTCAATTTGTTGGGTGCGGAATGTTAATAAGGATGAATAGGAAAACATAGCCCGAGAGGGTATGTTAACATATTAGTGAATCCAATTTACAACCATCGCGTATGAATGTGAAAATAGTGTAACTCTTAGGTTTAACCCATAAAAGTCCAAACGAAGTCAAAACCCTACCCGTTTTACTTGAATTGATATTCTGTGTTTCATTTTGCTTTCTTAGTTAAGATTTAATGCTTTGTTTAATTTCAGTTTTGTTTTCTTTTTCATTAAAATTTGCTCCCACCAATCCAAAGAATTCGATTACTTCAACTTGATAACGTTAGGAAACTTAGTGTTTTGCTACAGTCCTCGTGGGAACGATATCCTACCCATCACTTTATTACTTGAGCGACTAGTGCACTTGCTAGTTTTGCATGTTATAATAAACACGCATCAATTGCCCTCTTGGTTGAGACTTCATTCGGTCTTCCATGTGAGTTGTTTGAAGCCGTACCATAAAGATTTGGAAGATCCGGGAAGGGGCAAATCGAAATGGGCACCATTTGGCAACACCAAGTTCTATGACAAGGAAGTGGAGTGTGTGTTAGCCGATCACGTCATTCGACAAAAGGGCCATCCTCCAAGTCGGGAATACTTTGTCAAATGGAAGGGGCTACCGAAGAGTGAAGCTAGTTGGGAACCCGAAGATGCATTGCGGCAATTCAAAGACAAGGTCCAAGAATTCCACAAAGAGTCGACGAGGACGTCTTCGGATTAGGTGGGGGAGAATGTGACGCCTCTCAAGCATTTCATCAAACACTTGGTGTGCATCACCCCGACATTCTAGAAGCTTCCGGAATACTCTTGTATATGCTAGAATATTGTAATTAATACGGTAGTTGGTAGATGTTAGTTGGTAGGTGGTAGTTTGGAGTTAGCTAATCTCCACCGTTGATCTTGGGAGATCTAGACCGTCTATTGTAAGCTCCAACTACTATAAGAGGGGGAGGCCTTCATTTGGCCAAACCATCTAAGAATTGTAAAGTTCTCTCATTAGTAAAGAGTTCTCTTTCTAGCATCCTTTGTGAGTGAGTTTGTGTGAGTGTTTTCTTACTTGCAGGGTTAGAAGCGTGAGCAAGTAAGGCTGACTTAGGGCAATCGTCGAGAGATTAGCACCTAAGGCCGCACTAGTCCGATGGGAAGCGATCGGGCCTTGACAGAAGGCATTACAAGGCTGTACGGCTGTATGCCATAAATTTGGTGGCGTTATTTGCCTTCAATGTAATAAAAGTTATAAGTAATTGTAAATGTGAACAAAAAAGGTCACTCAACCGTTGATAGCCATTAACTTTAACAAATTGCTGACTCAATACAGTAAACGGACAATTATACCCCAGTATAAAGGGAAACGTATGTAATTTTGATTATAGAAAAAGCTGGAACTTTAATTCATGTTTTAAATAAAGGGTCAGTTTTTTCTCATAAATGTTGATACTAAAGTTCAGAGAAAAATGAAGATTGATGAGTTACTATTGAATCTGGAGTTGAATTCTTTGCCTAAGATTTTGCTTCAAAATCCTCCTTTAAGTTGAACATGGCTGAGGATTTGATCAAATTGTCCTTTGAGGAATTCAGATTGAGTTCTGTTAAGAGGCTTTTTTTCTAATGAATTAAAGTGGCTGCAGCCTTCTAGTGCAAGCAAAATGCCAAATTCCTTTAAAAGGCAATATCTACCTTCTTGAAATAGAACAAGGATTGGGATGCTATATGTAATCTAAAATACTTTTACTTAAAATTGGACATAACTTAATTATAATGATACAGAAAGTAGAGTCAATTGAATTCAAAAGTAACATATAATATATATTTTCTGCTCAATAACTAGATCTCTAAAGTAATGGATTTTTTAAGGGATCTAAACATGATAGTGAGATTATAATAAAAGCTATGATATTTTATAATGAACAATAATACTATACGTACGAAGAAATCTTATAAGGATTTACATACAAAGTGAGGTGGCAAAAAATGAATGGAAGAGTGAAAAAAAAAAGTCAAACTCATTAAATTCATTCTTCTATTCATTTTTTGCCACATAATTTTGTATGAAGATCTTTGTAAGTATAGTATTATTCTATAATGAAATCTAGAGAGAACTTTTTATTTTGATTTTTGATGATTAGTGGTGTTCGAAGCAGCTTACACGTATTTCAACTGATCATTCGGGACCTTAAAACTATTGATCGAATAAGAGTTTCAGTGACTATTCCTATTTGAAATGATATTCATATTCATAGAACTCTCTTATATATTTCAAAATAATAATAATAAAGAATGTTCCAAACATATATAATGATCTAGCTAGGTCCAGCGGCTTTATAAAAACAAGATATGAAAGTGTAAAAGCAAAAATAAAAGGGAAGAGTTTGGGAATCGCTTGGAGAAAGATAAAGATTATTAATACCAAAACCAGTAGGTCCAGTACCAAAGTAAGGTTTCACTCACTTTCCCTATTACCGAAGTATTCTTAGGCTTCTTCTATAAAATATAATAAACAGAAACATTTTTTAACTATTTCCCATGGTATTATTTTTTACCATTAAGTAGAAAATTTTAAGTTATAATTACTTATTTTTTTTACACATTTTGTCCCTTCTCACTTGAATTCTTGTCTCCGTCTTAACCATACATGTGCCACAACGTCAACAAAATTCGGTGAGAATATTAAATTTTGATGGCCTCTTATCGTTTGTCAACTCATATTTATCATAAGTATATTTCTTTATATAAATTGCATAAAAATAAAAAATAATAATGAAACTAGCAGAAAGGAATGTCCCAAGCATGTACAATGATCTAGCTAGGCCCAGAGGCTTTAGATAAAACAAGATATGAAAGTGTAAAGCAAAAGATAAAAAGAAACACTGGGGGATCAAGGCAAGGTTTTCACTCACTTTGCCCATTACCCAAGTATTCTTTGGCTTCTTCTGTATAAAGTATACAAACAGAAACTATTGGCAGCATTTTCACAACATAATCAACAAAAACTTTACCTCCCAGTTACAATCTTTAAGCATGGTGGATGCAACTGTTTCCGCGGTCTTAGAACAATTATCTAGTTCATCTTTAACAAAAAAGATAGAAGGAGCAGGCGTCAACACCGAAGTACTGCACCTCAAAAACAATCTTCGAGACATGAAAGAAGCGGTGATTGATGCTGAGCAAAGACAAGTGAAGGAAGAACATGTGAGATTTTGGTTGGATAAGCTGAAATACGCATTGTATGATATGGAAGATGAGTTTGACGAGGTATGTTTTTCATCTTGCTTTTTAATAGTATTTCCAAGTTTATTTTATATATTTGTCTTCTTTGCATATTAAATTCTGTCAAATTGGGGAAAAAGATCGAGAATGCAATGAGGTTGATTAAGAGCCTGTTTGGTATATTAATACTTAATGTTAGTTTATACATAATCAATGTTGTATATATAGTTGCATAAATGATGAACCGTCAATCATGTCAATATCGATTGTCATAAGTGTCGTTCTAGGATTAGTTTCAAGCTAGTTTTATCATTTCAACATTTTATAATTGATAATTAATTTGCTGCTTTTATAATTTTTTGTTTTTAAGTTTTTATTTTATTTGAAATACTTTTTATAAACTATATAAATTTTGAATATTATGTTTCTTTTAATTGAGTACATACATTTTTTAAAAAATTAAAAAAAAAAAAAAGAAAAAAAAAAAGAGTGATTAGATAACCTTCCACAAACATGTCAAATGAGTGGTATAGTGCCAGCCCGACCTATTTCTTCTAGGCCCATTTGGCCTATTGCACTAGACCAGCCCGTAATAAACAGTGAATTATGTTGGGCCAGCCCAAACACTATTTTAAAATTTAAGGCGCTGAACAACCCAATAGACACAACATAAATGGACTATACCGCGCCTAAGCCCAAGCACAAACAGGCTAGGGCTTTATGGGCTAGGCACAAATACCTTTTTCGTTTTTTTTTTTTTTCAGTGGAGGTTATCGCCCCACTAAAAAGCCTCATTTTTTAAAACACCTTGTTTCAAAGTTTGAAAAACTAAATATTTTTTCTTATAGCACACACAAATTTCATAAATGCCCTTATCCCCATTTTTTTTTTTTTTTTTTAAAATTTTAAAAGAGGGTTAACATTTCATTCCCTTCACTTATGCTATATACTTGCTACCATTAGCAGTGGGTGGTTCTGGATACCTGCCCAAATTCAAAGGAATCAGAATTGAAATCAAAACCGGCCAGCTCCTTGGATTTGGAACTGAAACCGGAACTTGAAACATAGGTTCCGGTTCTGGTTCCGAGTACCTAATTTCATCACCCCCTACTTTAAAAAAAAATGACAAATAAACCTTCTAAAAATTACAATACACCCCAAACAGTTTACAAAAATTATAATTCAGTCCTGATTCCTACCCGAGTATTTGATCGATTTTGATTTTGGTTTTGGTTCCAATTCTCGATTCCTGCAGGGTGGAATTGTTCGGTTCCTGATTTCTAGAACCAGAACCTATCCTGTGACGGTCTATTTCGAGTAGGAACTAGAACCTTGGGTACCCGCTGGTTCCAATTTCGATCGGTTCTTTGACAAACCCCTACCTACCGCGGTTATTCATAAAACAAAATTCTAGATAATCAAAATGAAAGTTCTAAAAATTTAGAGCTAAAAATTCTTTACAAATATTCCCAAGAACATAATAAACTTAAATAATACAAAAATTATATAGATTAATATAGCGACCAATACTTTGAAGAAATTAATAACAATATATTTATATGTGACTACAAACAATCTCATATTTCAAATCCTATCTTTATTATTCATTCTCATAAAAGAAATTAGAGTTTATGAAATAATAGTGGGGTGTCAGAAGTGCTTTTAAAGAATAAGAAATTAAAATTAATTTTAATAATTTTAATAGGGTTAAATTTGTCATTATAAATTTTAATAAAAAGTGGGAGCTTATTTAATCTACTGGTTGGCTGCTAATAGATCCATTCTTTTTATTTTTATTTTTATTTTTTATTTTTTTTAAGAGTTGTTATTCAAGCCTCGCCATAACTCTTTTTAAGGCTAATTATTAATTTTTCAAAAATTTAAAAAATATTTATATATACAAATTACCAAAAAGTACTATTTACATCATAACCTTTACCAAGTTTTTCTAGTTATTTAAACTTTTAAAGACTATAATTCTAACCCACAATCTATTTATTTAATCAATTATACTTTTTTCCTTTTTCTGGTTTGTTTACTAAATTAGTTTTTATAGATTTTAGAATTTAGAACTTTTAATAAACTGTTTCAAAACCTTTTACATCTGCTTTCATCTCTTTGTCTGTAACTTTTGGCTTAAAGTAAACCACTTGAACTTGTTTTCTTATTTCATTAAATTATTAATAATTTAATGATAAATCATTTGATTTAGCACAACATTCAATTATTGTCTTGAATAAATCAGACAGAAGTTAAAAAATTAGGAAATAATTTAAGAAGGAATAGGAAAGTAGAGAAATTAAGAAGGATTAGAAAAGGACAATTTTGGAATAAACTAAAATTTTTATTTTTTATAATTGATTTTGAGGCTTAGAAAGAGTTAGGCGGGGCTTAAATAACACCACTCCTAATTTATAGATATAATCATAAAAGTAAATTTTAAAAGATTAGATATATGCATGAAATTAATAATTTTTCATTAAATTTGAAATAGATATGCAATTAATTAGGTGAAAGTTGCAATCTTTATCGAGAAAAATAAAATACTAAAAGCGAAAAATTTAAAATTTAAAAACAAAATGAGAAATATAAAGCACAAAATAAGAAATATACAAAATCTTCAGTTCAATCAAATAGGATATGGTGCATCCTATTGCTAATGGAAAAAAAAGTTAATTAATAATTGATTCATAAATCTATAATTTTATAATATTAGTAATTCATAAATTACTAATTTTAAATAATATAAATTAGTTATTCTATTAAATAAATTAATTCATATAAATTAGTTACTTTATTTTATAAATGAAATGGTTGTTAGGAAAATTTATATAGACAAAGAACTTAAATGTCAGTTAGGACAATTGATTGTGCCAAAAAACAATATATCAAACACTAGACGTGCGGAAGCTAACCAAGGATCCCAAGCTTAAAACAATTATATCCTAATCCAAGATTACAAACAATTGGCAATATATAAGAGTAATAAATACACAAATCAGCACAACCATATACGTCATTTCGTCAAATGGCCTACATTCCCACACTCCTCACAATAGTAAGTGTTACAACCATACACTCCCACACTGCTCACAATAGCCAAGTATATAAGTTTTCATCCAATCTTAACGCTAGTAGATATTGCTAGTCCTAGAGAATGACTTTGCCAATGTTGTTAGATTGTTAGTGTATGTGAAGAGAAAGATATGGCCTTGAAACTTTTTCTTATGAGTAGAATTAAGGAAAAAAAGGAATTTAAACATTAATTTGTATTAAAAGGTTTTTCTTATGAGTAGTTATGTAGTTGAGAGATTAATTTGAGTAATTAATGGTGTTGGTTTCCATTTTCAATTATTTTTCCTTAAACTTTTCCCAGGTGTTACGTATGCCCAATGACAAAGTAGGTTCCTTGATAAAAGAATTAAATAGCAAACTACGCAGTATTGCCACAGAGAAAAATATGATTGGTTTTACTGTGAATAGGAGTGTTGAGAAGCCTGAGCCATTCCAATGCATATCCTTAGTTGATGAGTCTGAGATGATTGGTCAAGTTGAGCTTAAGCAAAAGCTAATAGGTATGTTGTGTGAGAGTCGTAGTGACAAACAAAAAGGTCCTCATATCATCTCACTTGTAGGGGTGAGAGGAACTGGAAAGACATCTCTCGCTAAAGTTGTTTATGAAAATGATAAGATAGCAAGTACATTTGAGAAAAAAATATGGGTTTCTGCATCAAATCCTTTTGATGAGCTCAAGATTGCCAAAGCAATTGTTGCAGCTTTAGAAGGTGCAATGCCTGCATTTGTAGATTTAGGGTCTCTTCTACAACATCTATGCAAACTAATTATTGGAAGAAGAATTCTTCTTGTCTTAGACGATGTGCAAATAGAAGATTACAACAGGTGGAAACCCCTTCATTATTGTCTAGAGAATTGTCATTCTGAAAGTAAGATTTTGATCACTACACAGGAGGAGTCAATTTCACGAATAATGAAGGCGGCTGACCTTCTCACTGTTAAGGAATTATCTGAAGAGGAATGTCAATCATTGTTTAGACGGTTTGCATTTTTCAATAAGTTGCCGAAACAATGTGAAGAGTTAGAACCCTTTGTTAAACAAGTTGTAGATAAATGCAAGGGCTTGCCTCTCGCCATAAAAGTGATGGGGAGTTTCTTGTGCTCTAAAAGAAGTACATTAGAGTGGCAAAGTATATTAAACAGTGAGATGTGGAAAGTTGATGAAGAGTTTGAGAATGGCATTCCTTTCTTCTTGTTGAGTTATATCAATTTACCTTCCATTGTAAAAAGATGTCTCTCATATTGTGCCATCTTTCCCCAGAATTACCTGATAAACAAAGATCAGTTAATTAAATTATGGATGGCACAAGGTTACCTTGGATCAGAAAACAATAAAGAGATGGAACTAATGGGTCAAGAATTTTTTGACTACTTAGTAACACGCTCTTTTTTCCAAGAGTTTGATATAGACGATGACGGTGGTATCATAAGTTGTAAGATGCATGGGATAGCATACAATTTTCTCAAATTTATCACTAAGCATGAATGTTTGGCAATGGAAGTCAATGGTGACGAACAATCAAGCCCAAATCCCGATTATGATCAAGACGAAGTTCGTCAATCAATGTTGATGCTTAGTAAGGAAGCCTCATTTCCCAACTCTATACTTCGCTTTAAAAAATTGCGCAGTCTCTTGGTTCAAAGTGGGGTAACAAACTCTTCATCAGTGCCACAGGAAGTCTTTGATCAACTGTTGCTCTTAAGAGCATTAGATATTAGTGGAAAACTTTTGTATGAGGATTCAATTGTTAACATTCCATCAACGAAGATAGGAAAATTGATCCATTTGAGATATCTTAATTTTTCCTTGCTAAAGATATCAGAGTTACCCGAGGATTTATGTGAGTTGTATAATTTACAGACCTTGGAGATCAGTCAATGCATCAATCTCAACAAATTACCTCAGGGGATGGAAAAGTTGATAAATCTAAGGCATGTGGTAAATGATGAGACTTCATTGAGTTACATGCCCAAAGGAATGGAAAGATTAACTTGTCTTCGTACATTAAAAGAATTTGTTGTTAGTGGTGGTGTCAATGCTAGCAATGCATGTAGCCTTAAATGCTTGGAGAATTTTGTCTATCTCCAAGGGTCTCTAAGTATAAGAAAGTTGGGAGATGTGACAGAAAAAGTTGATTCTGGGAAAGAAAAACCACTTAAGAACAAGAAAAACCTCCTTCATTTGTATCTAAATTTCGAGAAAGATACAGAAGAAGAGACGGCAAATAAGGATGAAAATGTTCTTGAAGTCTTACAGCCAGCTTCAACTTTAGAGAGATTAGAGATCAGAGGCTACAAAGGCAAGACAATCTCACCCAAATGGGTAATGTCATTAAGGAAGCTGAGAATGTTAAATCTCCATGAATGCATGAACTTAGACCATTTGCCTTCGTTGGGAGAATTGTCATCCCTCGAGTCACTTTCTATATCAAGTATGCACGTGAAAAAAGTGGATAATGAATTTTTGGGAAGAGAGAGCGTCGTCAATTCGCCACATTCATTATTTATTGCCTTCCCTAAATTGAAGGCTCTAAGATTTGTTAACATGGAGGAATGGGAAGAATGGGAAGCGACAACTAATCCGATATGGGAAGAATTTTGTGATTCTACAATCATGCCATGTCTTCGTTCTTTATCACTTGTATATTGTCCCAAATTGAAGGCATTACCAGACCACATTCTTGAGGTTGCAACGTTGAATGAATTGAATATCAGTTGGTGTCCTTTGTTGAAAGCGCGTTACGATAATCGGCACAAACAGAATTGGGACAAGATCTCTCGTATTCCTAAGATTATGATTAATTTTAAGTATGTGGAGAGAGGGAAGCAGATCGATATTGCCTAAGGAGCCACAGGTGATTATTTCGATTCCTTTATTTCAATGTTATTGTAGTTAATTCTGAAGAAATTGTTTCAATCTTTTGTTATGTTTCATTATCATTCAGCTAATTTTCAATTATATATACAAGGCTATAATTTTGCTGGAGATAAAATAAGATCTTCCAAACTCATCATCCAATCTTTTTGACGAAATTTAAATTCATAGTCATATGATTTTCACACTGATATTACTGTCTATTTTCTAAAATGGGTAGATTTCAAAAATTCATATAGGTGGTGAACTTTCTAATATTTGTTACAATATGTATGTCTACCTATTCTATAAACTAGTAAATTTTATTGAACCATATTTGCAGGAGTTAGAAGTAGAAGTTTCAAGATTATAATGCCCAAAATTATGGTCTTCAAGTATCATTATCACGCCATGATTTTCTTGAGAAATTTACTTTTGTTGTTGATATCTTTAAAATGAAAGTGGATAATAATTTTGGTCAACGATCATTATTTTACATATTATATTCTTCCAGGTGTATGTGTTGAAGAAAATATATATTTCTTGTTGCAGTGGCCTTAAATAGTGGTTTGTGCATATGCTTGCGAAAAGAGTAATAGGAGAGGATTGTCTTCGAGAAAATTAAGGTATGTATTTACAAGAAATGAAGACTACCATTGTATATGGATATTTTTTTTTCTGAAGTATTAAATTTCAGATTCTCAAAATTTGGATTAATCCAAAAGTTGAGAACACTTCATAGGAAAAACTCATATTCACCTTTATATGTATATATACTATTTATGTATGTCCACATATACTATAATTATCATCGAGGATCATGATCTTACATATTACATTTTTCAGGTGTGTTGAAGAACATATTTTCTTGTTGCAAAGGCTTTAAATAGTATGATAAGATTGTCTTAAGATTTGAGATATGTATGTTAAAGAAATGAAATGAAGACGTCCATTGTATATAGATAATATTTCTGAAGCAAAGTCCACCTTGATTTTAAAAACACTATAAGCCCTAGGAATGTCATACATTTAAAAAAAAAAAAAAAAAAAATTCACTATTAAATTCTCACAATATTGTCGTATTTTATACCATTTCTTCTTTAATTAATGATTAAATGGTGCTTAACTTTGACGATCATCTATTGACATTCTTAATTCACTACGATGGCATCTTAATTCCTGGTTACATAGGTTTGATAATCTAAGTGGAAATTCATAGGATTAATTGAATTTTTAAAATGGCACGTAGATGGTCAAGTTTAGGCCTGGCATTTGAATTCTGAACTGCATGAGGTTTGAATCTCATGGTACTTATTGATAAATTTCGATGGAATTCATGAACTCGAAAAATCAGTTTCTTAAAAATTGTGAATCACCAACTTAGCTTTGTATCATTTCAGGAGCAATACTTTTGCGTGTTTATGAATTTTTTCCAAGTTCTACTATAAATGTTGTCCTATGAATAACGTGGTAAGTAAATGTCTCTTCATATATAAGATTATAAATTAAATTTTCAATGTAACCCCGACTATGGCAGTGATAATTAATTTTAACTTTTCTTGATTGCAGCTCCTTACGATGTTTAATTTCATGAGTGAAGAGCAAAATTACTGTTTGTTGAAAGAGAGCATTCCTGAAGTTGTTGGTTATGGTTAACTTCTCACATCAATATCTCAGCGGTTCTTTGTTCAAAAGACTTTTAATGCTTAATGATTTCTAATTATCAATTGCGTGTTTCATTTACAAGCATTTGCTTTTGTTGTTTATTGACTCAAATTTGTTTGTTTTAGTTTAGAGTTTTAAAGATAAAATGTAGAGAGACTTGAGAGTGCTTATTGTCGAGACTTGAGAATACTCTCTAGGATTGGATTTGTTGAGATTTGCGAGCTTGTAGTACTTGGTTATTGTAATGAAACAATATTATCACTTGTGGACGTTGAGTATTTGGTCAAATGCTGTATGTCGTTGTGATGTTTTGTGTGTTTGTTGTGTTGTTTATTTTTCTATATCGTTGATCATTTCTAATCCCCGAAAATATTAAAAAATTCATAAATTTTATAAACTGACTATTACACCCTAAATAGTCTATTTGTTTTATAAATTACCCAATCCAATATAATGTCGAAAAACAAATAAATAAGGGAGTTAAATTATAAATAAATAAGGCCCATATTATATAAATATATTTGAACTCATTACTTGTAGAAAAATTGTAAAACAAATATAAATATATATACTTGGCAAACGGGCGGGCCGGGCTTGTAAGGGTAGACATGGGTTATGAGTAAAACGGGCATGGGTCGATATATGCATGACCCGTACCCGTACCCGCCCCGTGTGGTACAGGTCACCTGCATATAATGGCATTTTCTGTAATTTTTTTTGCAGGTTTTTGTTATTTTTTCACTGTTTTTTGTTATTCAAATTGTATACTTGTAGATGTAAATTGTATTGATTTAAAAAGTTGGTATAAAATTCCTTTATTAAGCTTTCATAACTTGGTTAATTTGATTAAGTAAATGGATGATTAAATTAAATTTGATTAGATTTCACCAAACATCATTAATTCATTATCAATATTTTTCATATCTATATCAAACTTCACCATATAGAATTAGTAAACACTAAACACTAAACACTAAACATACATAATAATTACTAATTGGTAAACACTACACATATAGAATTAGTAAATACTAAACACTAAACATACATAGTAATTACTAATTAGTAAACACTAAACATATAAAATTGTTCAACATTCAACATACATACATAGTAAACACTAAACACTAAACAATTAAACATATAGAATTGTTCAACCAAACACTAAGCAAACAAAGTCTATCACACATTAACGGTGTTAGAAGCCGCCCTTGATTCTATAATCTCCTTCTCTGCTAGCACTTGGCTTAATGGCACAACAAGCTAAGCATCATCAATTTCATCTTCTATAATTAACAAAATATAAGTTAATTACTATCGTAATATATTAACAAACTAAAATATTAAAACATGTGAAATATAAGTTAAAATGTTACCTTTAACTTCATATCCAGAAATCTATGTCCTAGTGCATATCAAAGATTGTGCATTCTCTAGTAAAACTGAACTTCGATATTTACTGAGCACTTTGCTACCAACACTGAAACTGGACTCCGAAGCAACAATTGTTATTGGTATACTCATCACATCACGGGCCATCATGGAAAGTATCGGGTATGGATGATATCACTATTTTTCTTCCGATGGTCCAGGATATCCAGATTGCAAAATTTGATGCAATCATACCTTGCCTCTCCTAGATAAGTATCCAATTCGGACTTCTTAGTAGCACTAAAGTCACTCTTGTAGTAGTCAAATTCTTGCACCGTTTAAATATTTAAATTTAATAAAGCAAAATTACAAAATAAACAAAACCTTATTAATCACAAGAATATAAAAATATATAGGGAGTAGTAACTTACACAAATATCATCTCCAAGGATATTAGTACTACTAGTCTGTACCCAAGGATCGGTGGGAACTCATTGCAACTTAGACCCTCATAAGTAACAAAAAGCTTATACAACTCCTCCTTGACGAACTCCAACTTTCTTGATTCAACTATTGGGCCATCAACTTTTTTGTAATAAAACTCAACAAACTCAAACTTGAAACGTGGGTCCACAATTGCTACAATTGCTAACACAACGCTATAAGAATCCCAATATTTGTCAAGCTTTACTTTCATTTGACTTGCCATGATACTAACAACTTCATCCTCGTTTTCCATCTCTTCGTATAAACGCACTTGAACTCTTGAACTCTCCACACATTTCTGAGGTACAAGTTTGCTGTGGGGTATTGGGAACCCAAAAAAAGAGTAGTGATGTCATAAAATGGTTGCAAGAACTTGCAAATCCTCACCCTCTATTCCATTCTTCATCTGAAGGACAACTTTTATAATTGGGATCTATTAGTGACAAATGAACAAACACACGACGGTATATTAACGCACTTTCAAGCATTAAATAAGTGGAATTCCATCTTGTGGGAACATCCATTCACCATCCTTTTGAGTTTATCACACCAATTTGTTTGGCAAGTTCTCCAAACTTGATTCTTTTAGCCTCACTTCCTTTAACATATTTCACACTTTCACAAATCTTATGTAAAGCCACACTACTAACCTTTAACCTTTCTTGGACTATGGGATTCAGGATATGTGCACAACATCGCACATGAAAAAAAGAACCACCACATAATAAAGCATTTTGCACACAAAGTTGACTCCTTAAAATGTCTTCCATCTTATCATTATTACTTGCATTGTCTAATGTAAGAGAGAAGACTTTCTTTTCAATCCCCCAATCTTTTAAGAAATCATACACTATTTTTGACAAAAGAGCCCTTGAGTGTAGAGGAGGAATATGACAAAAATTAAGAATTCTACTTTGTAACTCCCAATTCTCATCAACATAGTGAGCTGTTAAAGAAATATGCCCATCAGTAGTACAAGAACTCCAAATATCAGAAGTCAAGCATATTGTACCCGAAACCCTCTCTAAAGCAAGCTTAATCTTTTCCTTCTCCCTATAATATATCTTTAAGCAATCCGCCTTAGCGGTGTTCCTAGTATAAGGCTTAACTTCATGATTCAAATATATGTGGACATCCCTAATTCCTTCATGCTTCATTATTAAATATGGGTAATTATGTTTTATGCTTCCTATTGTCATCTTCTCATGATAAATCTCTTGAGAAATCCTCAAACGTCTCAATTTAGTATCACAATCCATCATCAATTGATCTACACTACTAATGGTACGTTTAGGACAACCTTCTATATGGTGCCTCAAATTCTTAGTCCTATGAGGGGAACTACCATATGCATAAGACTTACTAAAAATCAAACACCTTGCCCTCACATCCCCATTTTCTTCCATATATGTTGTAAATTGAACCCAAACATCTGAAACTTTACTTTTTTTTGGGGCAAATAGTACTAGCACTAGAAGGAGGTTGACCTACGGCTACATTACGACCCATTTCTATTGCCTTATTAAACAAATCTATAGACTCCTCCATGCCAAGCCAATCTAAAGGCCACAACAGAGTATTTACATTTAAATTAATTAACCAATTATAACAATTCATCCAAAATAAAAATAAAACACTCCCATAAATTTTACAAGCAAACCAGCCCTACCAAATGGTTGGATTTTTCCAACTCAATGGTCAACACTCCTCAACTCCTCAATTCAAAAAACTAAAATGCAATCTCCAGGGATTTATAATATTTTTCTCATAAAACACATACAATCTTTATAGAAAACCTGTACTACAATAACTCAATGCTCACAATGCAAATAATAATTCTAACATTGATAGAAATTCAAAATCATACAAAAAACTCATTGATCACAAGTCACAATGCAATAATGCATCAAAACTCAATTCTCACAGTGCAAATAATGGTAGTTAAATGTATTGTCTTGTTTTCCCAAAGCATTTGCTAACTTGGTGAAAGCGTTTACCTCTGAGAGTGACTATTGCGACTGAGAGTTAGGCGATGTCGGAGTGAGAGAGAATGAGAGTGAGAGAAGAGCAAAAGTTGTCGTTCATCAATGTGACAGGGTGAGAGAGTTCAGACTGAACTAAGAATCGCGTCAGAGCAAAATGAGAGTGAGAGGAGAGCTGCAGTTGCTGCTATTTTGTTGGAGGCGGCCTGGGTTTGGGAGCTGCCATTTGTCGGCGTGAGTGAGCACGAGAGAGTTGAGACTGAGCTGAGAGTCGTGTCGAAGCAGAATGACAGTGAGAGGATAGGTGCAGCTACTGCTGTTTCATCGGTGGCAGCCTGGGTTTGGGAGCTTCCGTTTGTCGGCAAGAGTGAGCTATGACAGTGGCTACGTGAGTGAGTGTGTTGCGTGAGAGAGTTGAGTGTGTACTGTGCAGTGTAGTCTGAGTTGCATTTTGAGTCTTTTGACTTTAGCGTTCGTTATTTGTTAATTGTTATTAAATTAATTTTTTTTTTTAAATTCAATTGTGGGTACCTGACCCACCAGCAAATTTCACAGGCAGGCCGGGTACGGGTAGTTTTGAAACAGGTATTTTGGAGGGATACCCGTACCCGCCCATTAGGTGTAGGTACCCGTTTACCTGCAGGTACAGGCCCTCTAAACTTAATAAATTATGGTTTTGATGTAAAACAAATCTCTTATTATCTTGGAAATTCTATATTTCTAAAAGGTTTTTAACTTAGTTTACCTTTAGGAAATTATTATTTTTTATGGATTATTTTTTTTTTTTTTATATGTTAGTATTCTATTGGGCTTGACAAGGTCCAATAATGAAATAAGTATACTACGACCCAATGCCTTAGCCTAATTCCAGTTGGGCCTACACTTAAATCCATCTTGTGAACTGATCACTCTATGAGTTGGGTTATCCTACAAGTTAAGCTAGATCGGGTTCCAGCCCATTAGCCCACAGAAGTCCAAAATAGGAATCAGAATCCTATTTACTTTCCACTGTAGTCAAGATCCGGAATTTGCTTGAAGTGGTAAGCTAATTTGATAAAGGCAAGTGATAATATTTCCTTCCTCATTGAGACTCATCTACCTAGCAGGACTCAGAGTTTTACTAGGACTCCAACCTCTTTGGTTCACTATATAAGCGGAGGCTAGACCTCTCATTATGCATTAAAAAAATAACCTATAGCTCTTAGCTCTCAAAGTTCTTGCTCCTAAGGACCCCCGTCTCTCCCGCCGTAAAGTTTAGTTCCGACTAACTTTACCACCTTCCACCACCACAAAGTTGTGCTCCGGCCACTTTGTGTTAGTTTAGCCCTAGCTGCATTATTCCGGTAAACCTTTCACGCTTTCAACCCTCACTAAAATACCTTCAACTTTGTTGACTTGAGTGTTGGAGTGCCTACGGGAGACACCACATCAATGTCACCTCTTCACGTTCTCTTTCTCTCTATGTGTAGGTCCACCAGATTTTTAGTGGCTCGTTTTTCACAAGATCCGTCCTTTCTAAATCAATTGTAGATTTTACCATCTACAATTTGGCACCTACCGTGGGGCCTTGACAATCTTTCAACTAAAAATGACTTGCTCCTTTCGTTCTTACTCCCTCCATTCATCCATCATGACTAAAAGTACTGAAACCCCTAAGCCTAATGTCGCGTGCATGGCCTTGAGTCAATGCCCAAAACTTGAATGTCCTTGTAAATTCATTAATACGCTAGTTTCTTGTAGCTTCATGAAACTTTCCTCATTGTTAGTAGTTTCTTTCAGCAAATCAAATATGAAAGAGAGAAAGAATTCTCTGGATTTTGTTTGAAGATCGTATTTTTTCAAATCATCTCACACACGGTATACATAAATATGTACATCCGTTATATTTATTGACATTTATGGTGCTTATATATATATAAGAACCATGTTAGAGTAGGTGCACTAGAGTCAACGTTTTAGCTCTAGTAAACTCATTTAAATAAATGAATAAAAGACATCGCTTATTTATGAGCATGTATACTATAGCATCTATTTACTACGTGTAAAGAAATTGGTATAAGTCCTTAGAAGGTTGAAACTAGTGACAAAGGAATTAAGTGTCATAAATCTTAACTATAAGAACCCTATAAGCACAAATAGTTGCCGTTCTTAAACTGTCTATAGTCATAGTATAAATCTGACTAAGGACACAGATTATATGGAGAGACTATCATCATGTTGAATGACCCAATCGAAAGGTAGTGACAGATCTCACATGTCAAGGTTGTGGGCATTAACCTGGTGCAACACATGAGTGCTTGCTTGTGCAAGACCACTGGATTGACCTATTAAAGGATTTCACACAAGATGGTAAACTCAATGTCTGTGGAATATATCAACTTACGGATGGTGGTGCATGTGGTCCTTCGACTTGAGATCACTAAAGCGTCATAAATATCGATGTGATTTGACACCAATCTAATGCTGTCTCTCTTTGGGATTACTAGAAAGGTGGTGATTGGTTACATTGAGAAGTACATATGACTATAATGGATCGACAAAAGATTCATCACTCTTGGTTATAGGTGATCATATCTCAGCGAGATATTTGGTTAAAAACTATGACCTCAAATCCGTGGCCACAATGGAATCGAGTTGGTGCTCGAATCCAATTTTATAGCTGTCAGATTCAAGAACAAAATATAGAACATGTCAAGGTAGCATTTTGAGGTAGACACTATTTCTATACCTTAAACCTTAATGAGATATAAGATGATGAAATAGATCGAATTGTACGGTAACCATGCTGTAGAAAAGGTAAGCCTAAATCGCTAATTCTTTATTTACTGGGGAATCATGATGTCTTGCTAGAGGCCAATCTTGATTGGTGTACGAAAACACTAATTGTTTGATGCTTAATTAGCTATTGGGACACTGTCGGCAAAGTAAAGAGCCTTCAGGTCACACACATAGAAGGTAGTTAAGTGAGAAACGGAAATGGAAGGACAATCCTGTCCTTGGGCCGAAAAGGGTATTTGATAATTTGGTAATCTAGGGGCATTTTCGTCATTATGGGCGAAAAAGGTAGAACTTTTAGCAAAATTGGAATGATAGTAATTTTAATTAATATGGAGAATATTTATTTAATTTAATTAAATATATATTAAAAACCATATATATTAAATATGATAAATATATATGGATTAAATAAATAGTAATAATTATTTAATTATAGTATGTATTTATATATGAATTAAATAAATAGAAATATTTATTTAATTAGGATTCATAATTAAAGAAAATATCTTTAAGAGATTTTAATCCCTTATATCAAAGATTACAATCCAATTCAAATAGGAATTAAAGGGTTGTAATCCAATCCAAATAGGAATTAAGGATTTACAATCCTTATTAGATTCTTATTTGGGATTGCCTTTATAAAAGGTCATTGGGTTTTGATTTAGAAGAGCAATTCTCATAAAGTTAATTTTGCAAATTGAATAGTAAAATTAATTCTCCCAAAAACCCTAGTTGTGGCCAACCCTAAAGAGATATTTTCTCTCTAATTTTTGCCAACTCCCTTAAACCCTTTGATTGGTCTAGTAATCAATCCTAGGGTGATCCCGAGCTTACTTTTTTGTGGATACCGTCGTGCTAGATTTTACTTTGGATCGATAGCAAAGTATATGTAAACAGTATCCATGAATAGTGTCGGTGAACAGTACTTGAAAAATTCTAATTCAGTGAAGGAGCCGCCAATGGGAGGTAAAAATACTGTCTTTGTATGGTTTAATCTAAATATATCATGGATTAATTTATCGAGTCGTGATCTTGGGTAAGGGGATTGTTTATGGCAAGAAAACAATTTTGTTATTCCGCGCTTGCCACGACACGATTCCTACAAGTGGTATTAGAGTTTTAATTCGATAATTAATCTCATATACATGATTGTATGCTAGTATGTATGTTTAGGGTTTAATTTTATCATATTAAACCTGTTGTAATTTTAATTTAATTTTGTTGAATGAGTTAATATAAAATTGGTTGGAATTAAGGCCTCAAAAACCCTAAAAATTGGTGGTTCAAATCTAGAGGTTGTGCGTGGCATCCAGGTTTCACCCTTGGCCCTTGGATGCATGGCTGGCCTCCCACAGGGTGCACGCTTCACTGCGCATAGCCTTATCTAGATGCCTGGTGTAGGCGTCTATCCAAGGTGCTTAGCATTGGCCGTGCGAGTCCAAAAGAGCGACACTGTTCCCATTCCACGCGTGCGAGTGTATGGTGCCTATCCCTACCGTGCAAGCAAGTGTGCGACATTATCTTGCCACCGCAAGCCAAGCTGGGCATTAACGTGCCCACCCACTCAGGATTTGTGGGCCTCATACTATGTGCGTGGGGCTAATGGGAGTGGTCCGTTTTGGGCTACTTGGGTTTGATGGTCATTG